AAACAGAGGATTCCCAGGACCACTGATCAGGTCCTCATGTGTAGGCTAGCTTGGGTTCTCTTTTCATTGTGGCTGTCCACTCACGCTCCTTTCCACTCAGCAGTTGACCCTCTTCTCCTCAGCTGGAGTTATTTCAAGACAACCGTATCAGCCGTTCCAAGTGTTTTAGTAATAAGCAAAGCTAATCTGACCTTTTTGACAGGTCGTCCTTGCAAAGCAGAATGTTCTCACCTGTATAAATAAAGGTTAAAAAAATAATATTTGTCTTGTATATCATTTTGAAAATGACAGTTTCCTGTCTGTCTTTACTTCCTGGTAGTAGGTGCCACATGGATAGATAGAGAGATCATCTTTCTATATGTCCCATTATGGTGTCTGTGAGTGCACAGGCAGCGCCATCGAGGCGATCTCCATTTTCTTCTTCTACTACTTCTATGATTTGGCCAACAAACTGAAAGGGTGCACACTGCCAACTAGTGTTTGCTCGCAAGTATAATTCATTGGCTGATCCCTCCTGATGACCCGGATGGAATAATGTGATCCTTCCTTAACCCATTGGAAGCCCCACCCAGTTGACTACTTTGAAATGGTGGAAGTCCTCAACGACAGTGTCCATGCCAAAACTGGTTATATCCATCTAGAGTCTTCCATCTAACTCTATGAAGGTACCAGAACAAAGCCTGGTTGTTATTTTGACAGAGGCACTGAACAGTACTGTACTGTGTTTCCATAGAACTTCCTTCACATCTTGTGTGCTAGTTACATTGTTACCTTCAGCATGCTAGTTTGCCAGGGGACATACTGTATTATGATTACATAAAGACCAGTGATCTGGTCACATGCTGTATCAGGGACATACTGTATCATGATAACATAAAGACCAGTGATCTGGTCACATACTGTATCAGGGACATACTGTATCATGATAACATAAAGACCAGTGATCTGGTCACATGCTGTATCAGGGACATACTGTATCATGATACATAAGCCAGTATCTGTCACTTGCTGTATCAGCATACTGTATCTGATACAAGACCATGATCTGGTCACATCCCTTTAAACAGGACATCTGTATATGATCATAGCCCAGTGATCTGTCACATTGTTCAGACATACTGTATGTGATTACCTAAAGACCATGATCTGTCACATGCGTACAGGACATACTGTATCATGATACCATAAGACTGATCTGTCACATGCTGTATCAGGACATACGTACAGATAACAAAGACCGTGATCTTGGTACATACTGATCACTGGACATACTGTATCATGATACATAAGACCGTGATCTGTCACATACTGTATCAGGGCTACTGTACATTGATAATGCCAGGATGCTAGTTTGCCAGGGACATACTGTATCATGATTACATAAGACCAGTGATCTGGCACACTGGGACATACTGTATCATGATAACATAAAGACCAGTGATCTGGTCACATGCTGTATCAGGGACATACTGTATCATGATAACATAAAGACCAGTGATCTGGTCACATGCTGTATCAGGGACATACTGTATCATGATAACATATAAAGACCAGTGATCTGGTCACAGTTTTGTAACGCTCTTAATTGCAGCCAGGCTAGGTTTTATTTGGCTAATTTAGTGTTTAATCATCATGAGGCCTGCAGCGAAGTGTCAAGACACATTAAGGTGCCATGAAATCTCTGGTTAGTCACGATGATGCGCTACCGGAGAATCACTTTGGCTTGTTGGTAAACAGGTCACAAAAATAATCACCTGATAAAACACAACAATTAGCACTGAGAATTGTCCTCTAATACAGTGGGGGGGGAAAGTATTTAGTCAGCCACCAATTGTGCAAGTTCTCCCACTTAAAAAGACGAGAGAGGCCTGTAATGTTCATCATGGGTACACGTCAACTATGACAGACAAATTGAGATTTTTTTTTAATGAATTTATTTGCAAATTATGGTGGAAAATAAGTATTTGGTCACCTACAAACAAGCAAGAATTCTGGCTCTCACAGACCTGTAACTTCTTCTTTAAGAGGCTCCTCTGTCCTCCACTCGTTACCTGTATTAATGGCACCTGTTTGAACTTGTTATCAGTATAAAAGACACCTGTCCACAACCTCAAACAGTCACACTCCAAACTCCACTATGGCCAAGACCAAAGAGCTGTCAAAGGACACCAGAAACCAAATTGTAGACCTGCACCAGGCTGGGAAGACTGAATCTGCAATAGGTAAGCAGCTTGGTTTGAAGAAATCAACTGTGGGAGCAATTATTAGGAAATGGAAGACATACAAGACAACTGATAATCTCCCTCGATCTGGGGCTCCACGCAAGATCTCACCCCGTGGGGTCAAAATGATCACAAGAACGGTGAGCAAAAATCCCAGAACCACACGGGGGGACCTAGTGAATGACCTGCAGAGAGCTGGGACCAAAGTAACAAAGCCTACCATCAGTAACACACTACGCCGCTAGGGACTCAAATCCTGCAGTGCCAGACGTGCCCCCCTGCTTAAGCCAGTACATGTCCAGGCCCGTCTGAAGTTTGCTAGAGTGCATTTGGATGATCCAGAAGAGGATTGGGAGAATGTCATATGGTCAGATGAAACCAAAATAGAACTTTTTGGTAAGAACTCAACTCGTCGTGTTTGGAGGACAAAGAATGCTGAGTTGCATCCAAAGAACACCATACCTACTGTGAAGCATGGGGGTGGAAACATCATGCTTTGGGGCTGTTTTTCTGCAAAGGGACCAGGACGACTGATCTGTGTAAAGGAAAGAATGAATGGGGCCATGTATCGTGAGATTTTGAGTGAAAACCTCCTTCCATCAGCAAGGGCCTTGAAGATGAAACGTGGCTGGGTCTTTCAGCATGACAATGATCCCAAACACACCGCACGGGCAACGAAGGAGTGGCTTCGTAAGAAGCATTTCAAGGTCCTGGAGTGGCCTAGCCAGTCTCCAGATCTCAACCCCATATAACATCTTTGGAGGGAGTTGAAAGTCCGTGTTGCCCAGCGACAGCCCCAAAACATCACTGCTCTAGAGGAGATCTGCATGGAGGAATGGGCCAAAATACCAGCAACAGTGTGTGAAAACCTTGTGAAGACTTACAGAAAACGTTTGACCTGTGTCATTGCCAACAAAGGGTATATAACAAAGTATTGAGAAACTTTTGTTATTGACCAAATACTTATTTTCCACCATAATTTGCAAATAAATTCATTAAAAATCCTACAATGTGATTTTCTGGAAAAAAAATTCTCATTTTGTCTGTCATAGTTGACGTGTACCTATGAAGAAAATTACAGGCCTCTCTCATCTTTTTAAGTGGGAGAACTTGCACAATTGGTGGCTGACTAAAAACTTTTTTGCCCCACTGTATGTTCACTATCACAGTTTGACTGTGACATTTCCTCTAGATTGAAACTCCAAATAGTGAGACTTTCATGTCTGTCAGGGCCCACTTCCTTATTCCAATTCGTTTTGTGTTTCCAGAAGGGTTTTTAGAAGAGGCAGTCCTGGACATAAAGCCATGGCAACACTGGAGACATTGTCTGTTTCTCTTCAGTGTCTCTCTGTAGTGAGAAGCCAGTGAGGTTGTTGAGAGAGGCTTAGCCCAGAGAGCTGTTGTAGCTCTGACCCCCACAGAGTGGAAATGACCTTTGACCTACAGTCAGCACGGGTCAAGGCCTTATTGTGAGCCACACTCTCTCCCACAGTCCACCATGAGTGGATCATTGTTTTAGCAGTTTAATCCTATCCAAACACCACAGTTTGTAAACCCTTCACGCAGGGTGTGTCCCAAATGACACCCTATACTTTTTTTCCAGGGCCCATAGGGCTCTCAAAAGTAGTGCACTATGTAGGAAATAGGGTGCCATTTGGGACACAGCCTTAGTGGATGCAGTCCAAGAGGAAGTGGACTTGGAGAGGGAAGCTAAGAGGGAGAGAGAGAATAAAGTAATAAGACTAAAGCTGGCCTTGTCAAGACAACGTCACTGTTCTGCTAGTGTCTGGTTATAGTGCACTACTTTTGAGAGCCCTATGGGCCCTGGTAAAAAGTATAGGGTGTGATTTGGGACGCACCCTGAGTGAAGAGTTTTCAAACTGTGGTGTTTGGATAGGATTAAACTGCTAAAACAATGATCCACTCATGGTGGACTGTGGGAGAGAGTGTGGCTCACAATAAGGCCTTGACCCGTGCTGACTGTAGGTCAAAGGTCATTGGTGTTTCATTAAACAGACATGGTGTTTCAGGACTGGGGCGTTTCATTAAACAGACAAGGTGTTTAGATGCAGAGCAGCATTGATCAGGGACTGGGGCGTTTCATTAAACAGACATGGTGTTTAGATGCAGAGCAGCATTGATCAGGGACTGGGGCGTTTCATTAAACAGACATGGTGTTTCAGGGACTGGGGCGTTTCATTAAACAGACATGGTGTTTAGATGCAGAGCAGCATTGATCAGGGACTGGGGTGTTTCGTTACACCTTGACCCCACCTGACTCTGGAAACGAGCTGCTGGAGGACTGCTGACAAGGAGAGGACACACACACACACACACACACACACACACACTCTCTCTCTCACTCCGTAGCTCCAGGTATACCTCAGGGTAATTGGCACACTACAAGGCAGCTGTGAAAGCTGCATTCTGGTCACACCTCCCCCTGAAGGCATGCTTGATGCTAGGCCTCTTTCATATTTTTCATATCTTCTAGCGTGCGCTGGTTTGTAATGATGAATGAATGTCTATTGGAGTCATAAAGACACAGACATGATGTACTAGGACATGATAATGATTTATTCTGTTCTACCTCAATATTATTACACATTTACCAGCACATTAACCAAGCTTAATGCCAATCCTGAAAAAGAAACAAATCATACACCTTTTACATACAAGATAAGAACGAGGACATACACATTTGAACAACATACTGGTACGTCTAAAATCATTGTGGTATTTTATAAACTCATAGATTGTCTCCGTGTGTGTCTCCAGGATGGAGGTCTCCTCATCAACAACCCGACAGCGTTGGCCATCCACGAGTGTAAGCTGCTGTGGCCCAACACCCCAGTGCAGTGTGTCGTCTCTCTGGGTACGGGCCGCTATGAGACCGCCAGCAAGAACAACAGCACCTACACCAGCCTCAAAGCCAAGATCACCAATGTCATCAGCAGTGCCACCGACACAGAGGGTGGGTCACACATGGGACCGTGGAGTGCGTGTGTGTGTGTGAGTGTGTAGTTTTTGAGTGTGTAGTTTGTCAATCTCCTTCAATGACTTCATGTTGCTCCCCAGTGCTTGACCTCTCTCTGATTCCTCATTCATCAGCTCCCCAGTGCTTGACCTCTCTGATTCCTCTCATTCATCAGCTCCCCAGTGCTTGACCTCTCTGATTCCTCTCATTCATCAGCTCCCCAGTGCTTGACCTCTCTCTGATTCCTCATTCATCAGCTCCCCAGTGCTTGACCTCTCTGATTCCTCATTCATCAGCTCCCCAGTGCTTGACCTCTCTCTGATTCCTCATTCATCAGCTCCCCAGTGCTTGACCTCTCTCTGATTCCTCATTCATCAGCTCCCCAGTGCTTGACCTCTCTGATTCCTCATTCATCAGCTCCCCAGTGCTTGACCCTCTCTCTGATTCCTCATTCATCAGCTCCCCAGTGCTTGACCTCTCTCTGATTCCTCCATGTGTAGATGGTCGGCCTTTTGAGTGATGTTTAGTCAGTGTGTGTGTGTGGTTGATGGCACTAATAACAACTTGATGGATCTCTATAAAGTAGGAAGTCATGATAAACCAGTCACACATAGACTAACTCTATCTCCCTCATCAGAGGTCCACATCATGCTGGACGCTCTCCTTCTCCCGGACAGCTGCTTCCTCTATCACTAAACTAGCTACACTAACAACATGATAGCTATGAAAATATAAAATGATTGAACTCTACTCCAGCAACATGACCTAACCTCTCATCTCTTCTCTCCCTGTCAGAGGTCCACATCATGCTGGACGCCCTCCTTCCACCCGACACCTACTTCCGCTTCAACCCCTACATGAGCGAGGACATCCCATTGGACGAGAGCCGGCCGGAGAGGCTCACCTTCCTGCAGGAGGAAGGAACTCGCTACCTGGAGAGGAACGAAGCCAAGCTGAACAAGGCAGCGTCGGTGCTGGCTCTGGAGAAGAGCGCCATCCAGAGGCTGGCTGAATGGTGCAAACTGAAGGCCGACATGTACGAGGGCCTGCCTTTCATCTCCAAACTGTAGGGGATGTCTAGAGGTGAAAGGTCAGACAGGCTGCGAGACACTAATTTAGACTGATTATGAAGATAATATAGGAGCTGTAAAGGTCTGACATGTACGAGGGCCTGCCTTTCATCTCCAAACTGTAGGGGATGTCTAGAGGTGAAAGGTCAGACAGGATGAGAGACACTAATTTAGACTGATTATGAAGATAATATAGGTGCTGTAAAGGTCTGACCTGTACGAGGGCCCTTCATCAGAAACTGTAGGAGGAGACCTGCAGAGGTTAAAGTTCAAAAGGCAGCTGCAGGCGGTAGGTGCTGAGACATTCATTTAGGCTTGATAATAAACATAATGTGCTTTGATATGACTCCATATCTGCTTGATGTAGATTATTTGAATTTCTGTTGCTTGGGCAGGATGTTGTTGCCTTTGACCTGTGAGAGTAGTGCAGTAGGATCTGTAGTAGTGTTTTCTCTGAAAAGGGTTTGGCAGGTAGGGCTGAAGGAATCAACCTTTTGACTGGTCCTAAATAAAGCGCCACTGTGAAGAGAGCGCATATGCTGTGTTTACACAGGCAGCCCAATTCTAATATTTTGCCACCCCAAAAATCAGATCAAATATTTTGCCAATAATTGGGCAAAAGATCTGAATTGGACTGCCTGTGTAAACAGCCATAATGGTGTGAATGGTAGATAGCCATTTACTGTTTTGATTTAAGAGTGCAGGGTTTGCAGGGAAGGTATTTTTAACAACTACCGACTTAACATGTACTGGTATGTCAGATATTCAGGGTCTGTTATTAGCAACTCATTCTGTTGTAATTACTATAAATATGAATGTTGTAACTGACCTTGCTGTCACCTCATTCCCATGTTCAGTAACTTTAAATGCTTCAAACTTGAACTAGGCATGTAAAGTAGAATGGTATAAAACATGTAATTATGCCTTTTTTTCACAGATGAATGAAATCATGCACTTTGTAAATTGTCACATTGTTCTTATCGTAAGAGGTCTGTAAGGGATCAAATGTAAATGGTTTGATATGTGAATTTGAATAATGTTTAATTGCAGAGTTCATGATATTAGCTTTATAATGAACTTGTACCTCCTAGTTCCTTTCTCCTGCATCGGTGTGTGAGAATGAAAATGTGTAATTAAAACAGGTTTCTGTTGTCGTGTTGTCTATTGGTTGCTGTGTCTAATAACTACAGAATATAAATGATCATTATATCCTCATCTGATCTGTACTGACGTCTGTTGAAGCTTAAGTAATAGTCTACGACAACCTTAAACCCCTCGCTCTCTCTCTCTCTCACACATTCACACACACAGACACAGTCTATAATAGAGGTGTCATGGAAGAATGTGGAGTGTCCTCCTCTGTGATGAATTGCTTTTTCCAATTGCGGAATTGATTGGTTGCGTTGTTGTTTATCCCCTGACATTCCATGATGACACTCACTCCTCCCATTCAAATGAGAATCACCCCAATCAACCCTACACATAACGCAGCCTTGGAGGTTGTGTCTCAAATGGCATCCTGTTCCCCCAATAAGGCTCTGGTCAAAAGTAGTGCACTATATAGGGAATAGGGTGTCATTTGCATAGCAGTCTATGTCAGAGGACACATTATAGCCTCTTACAAGAACAATTTAAATCGTCACTAGAACCAAACACAGGAGAATCAGGCATAATTGATGGAATAAAATTAATTTGGATAGAGGCTTGGTGGGGTGTTAGGGTGTGGATAGAGGGTTGGTGGGGTGTGGATAGAGGGTTGGTGGGGTGTGGATAGAGGGTTGGTGGGGTGTGGATAGAGGGTTGGTGGGGTGTTAGGGTGTGGATAGAGGGTTGGTGGGGTGTGGATAGAGGGTTGGTGGGGTGTTAGGGTGTGGATAGAGGGTTGGTGGGGTGTGGATGAGGGTTTGGTGGGGTTTAGGTGTGTGGATAAGGGTTGGTGGGGTGTTGGGGTTTGGATAGAGGGTTGGTGGGGTGTTGGGGTGTGGATAGAGGGTTGGTGGGGTGTTAGGGTGTGGATAGAGGCTTGGTGTGGATAGAGGGTTGGTAGGGGTGTTAGGGTGTGGATAGTGGCTTGGTGTGGATAGAGGGTTGGTGGGGTGTTAGGGTGTGGATAGAGGCTTGGTGTGGATAGAGGGGTTGGTGGGGTGTTAGGGTGTGGATAGAGGGTTGGTAGGAGTGTCGGGGTGTGGAGAGAACAAGGGTTGGTGATGTCGGGTGTGAGAGAGGTTGGTGGGGTGTTGCGGTGGGATAGAGGTTGGTGGGGTGTTGGGTGTGGATAGAGGTTGGTGTGGTTTAGGGGTGGTGAGGGTTGTGGGTTGGTGAGGGTTGGTGGTTGGATATGGAGGTGTTGGTAGTGGGTGTGGATAGAGGGTTGGTGGGTGTGTGGTGGTTGGATGGGTTGTAGGTTTGTGGTGTGGTTGTTGGTGTGTGGTAAGGGTTGGTAGGGGTGTTGGGGTGTGGATGATGTGTTGGTTGGATGGGTTGGGGGTTTGGGGGTGTTGGGTTGGATGAGGGTTGGTACGGGTGTTGGGGTTGGTGGGGTGTCAGGGTGAGGATAGAAGTTTGGTAGCGGTGTTGGGGTGTGGATGGAGGGTTGGTAGCGGTGTTGGGGTGTAGATGGAGGGTTGGTAGCGGTGTTGGGTGTAGATGGAGGGTTGGTAGCTGTGTTGGGGTGTGGATGGAGGGTTGGTGGGGTGTCAGGGTGAGGATAGAGGGTTGGTAGCGGTGTTGGGGTGTGGATGGAGGGTTGGTGGGGTGTTAGGGTGTGGATAGAGGGTTGGTAGGGGTGTTGGGGTGTGGATGGAGGGTTGGTGGTGTCACGTTCGTTGAGTACAGGATTGGACCAAGGTGCAGCGTGGTATGCGTACATGTTCGTTTATTGAATAAACACCGAACAAAACAACAAAAGCAACGTAACGTGAAGTTCTAAAGGCTAAACATCAAACAAGCCAAACACACAGAAACAAGATCCCACAAAACAGGTAGGCAACATGGCTACCTAAGTATGATCCCCAATCAGAGACAACGATCGACAGCTGCCTCTGATTCGGAACCACACCCGGCCAACATAGAAATACACATTCTAGAAACGATCAACCTTCACACCCTGACCAAACTAACAAGAAACAACAGGCATTAAAGGTCAGGGCGTGACAGGTGGGGTGTGGATGGAGGGTTGGTAGGGGTTGGTGGGGTGTGGATGGAGGGTTGGTAGGGGTTGGTGGGGTGTGGATGGCGGGTTGGTAGGGGTTGGTGGGGTGTGCATGGCGGGTTGGTAGGGGTTGGTGGGGTGTTAGGGTGTGGATAGAGGGTTGGTAGGGGTGTGGATGGAGGTTGGTGGGGTGTTTGGGTGTGGATGGAGGTTGGTGGGGGATACACAAATGTCAATGCTTGTATTTACACTGGGTGATCCCATTGAGATTAGAAATGTATTTTTCAAGGGGGACTTGTCTGTCTAATACTGGAAGAGCAACCTACTACAACACACCAGACAGATACCATCAGTACTCACACAGATGTCAACAACACAGCTGTGAGTCTGATAAAGGGCCCAGCAGCGATATTCTCAAGTTCAGGATGTACGTCTCTGTGTTTGAACCACACCTCACTCAGTGACATGACTATGTCCTACATCTTTTGAATGAACTGTGTTGTCAAGGGTTACTGATGAGAACTAGACCTAACGAGGTAATACAGATGAATGTTTCTGCCCTAGCCACATTCTGACAGTTTCCTGTTTTTGGGGGCCAGTGTAAAGGTCAAAGTGTAAAGGTTAACTGTCTCACGTTGTTTACAAGTCGGAGATGTAACTAATGATTCTGGTCCAGACGGTACCGCTACACCGCCAGGGTCCAAATGAACTCATCAGCTGTGAGGAACACTGTGTGTGTGTGTGGTCTCCTAATGGTGTTCCCTAGCAACCATCTCTCCTACACAATGTACTGCTGGTATGCATCGTCATGTTCTCCACATTCTCCTGATCAGAACTAAATGTGTTATGCAATATGCTCAGTGTTGTGCAGTTTCTTTTGTGCCTTTGTTCTATATTGACATTTCAGTCATTTAGCCGACGCTCCAGAGCCACTTACAGCTAGTCCATTCATCTTAAGGGGGCTAGGTGAGACAACACCATATCACAGTCACAGCGTTCTATTCTTAGCAATGCATTTGAATTGGGCAAATTATACATGTTGCAACTTCAATTGAATGGAGTGAGGCTAGAATTGGATTCCAATTGGTATTCGTGACCTTTTGGTTTAGTCATCAATATCAGTCTAATTGGTTCTGTAGTTTAAATGAATTATAGCTCTCTGTAGAGAGCAGTATAGAAGGAATGCCACAATGTATTTGAGTGTTTTAAGAGTAGAGCCATTAGGCTACAGGATACCTACAGCTCACTGAAACATCTCTGTGTGTTTCTAATTCAGGTCATTCCCTCTCCTGGTCTCCCTTGGTTTGGGTTTTCTTTCTTTATCTTTTGTGTCATGTGAGATAAGACCGGAGCAGTATCAGAGCAGTATCAGAGCAGTATTATAGCAGTATCAGTATCAGAGCAGTATCAGAGCAGTATCAGAGCAGTATTATAGCAGTATCAGTATCAGAGCAGTATCAGAGCAGTATCAGTATCAGAGCAGTATCAGTATCAGAGCAGTATCAGTATCAGAGCAGTATCAGTATCAGAGCAGTATCAGTATCAGAGCAGTATCAGTATCAGAGCAGTATCAGTATCAGAGCAGTATCAGTATCAGAAGCAGTATCTTCAGTATCAGTATCTATCAGAGCAGTATCAGTATCAGACAGTATCAGTATCAGAGCAGTATCAGTATCAGACAGTATCAGAGTATCAGACAGTATCAGTATCAGAACAGTATCATATCAGCAGTATCATATCAGAGCAGTATCAGTATCGAGCAGTATCAGAGCAGTATCAGTATCGTATCAACAGTATCATATCAGCAGTATCAGTAAGCAGTATCAGCATATCAGACGTAATCAGTATC